ATCTTAACTTCACCTTAAGAGTTTGTCTATCACATATTGCTGAGGCTGTTGGGATCCACATGAAGAAACATAACTTATGTATCCGAAAAAAGCTGGTTCAGATACTGTCCTTATCTTGGTCATCAAGGTTCTAATGATCCTCAAAATTTTGGGGAAATTATTTGATATGATATTTGCTATTATACTTGTGTGCTTATTATAATTTATACATCTTTAATAAACTGTAATTTCATCGACCTTACTTAACAAATCAATATTATTTAAAAGACACCACTATTGTAGTTGACGACTATTCTAGAATATCCTCTATGTATAAACATATGGATAATTGTAGAGCCAGAAGAGAAAATTCTCTGCTCAATCTTTTTGAAAAAGACTATGTCATACTTCGTTGAACTCTGAAGGCTGTCAGTAGGGTGAGTGGCGTCCCGTTGAGTCATATCGCTGACATCATCATTAATAGGCACTTAATTTCACGCAATAAATTTGTTAAAGGAATTTTTTCAAACAGTGAGCGTACACTTTACCCACATATATCACCTTACATGTCCTCAGGTAGAACAAGAAGTCATTTCAAATTACTTTTCGCGCGCACGCTTAGGTATAAAAATGCCACGATACCATATTTAGCTCGCACTTCAAGTGATGAAAGTAGTGTTAGGCATGATGTGGCTAATCCTCGTACCATTCTGAGCAAAGCAAGAACAACAGTGGTCAGTGCAGAAAAATATGGTACCATCATTTATTTCGTTGGCTTCGCATCAGCTGCTTACAGCCTAAATAAATTATGAGGTTTAAGTACAGAAAAGTTTTAACATACTTGTAAATTTTTCATGATGTCATTTGAGAGAAAGTCCCACAATTAGTGAACAGTGCTCAGAAAATGTCGCTTATATAGTTTTTACACAGGCAGTTCAAGTTTAAACAAAATAAATGTATACATACAATGGTAAAGGAGTTACGTAATAAAGACGAGAGATACATAAGATGCCGACTGACTAATAATTTAGGTAACAATCTAATGAGTTCAACTCAAATAATAAAAACAAGAGATAAGCAAAATTACAAATTATTAAAGGGGGTGGGGTTAAAGCCAAAGATTACGCAATCAAATGAAAGGGAGAATAAAGACATCCAGTTACCAAGGCAAGCAAAGATTAACACCTGCCTCTTTCTGAACACAAATCTGGTTTCGAGCGTCTGGTAGAAATTGCTTCAGCAAACTTGAGGAGAATCGAGCTCCTTTGTCTACTGATAATTTTAAATGATTTTGCGATTTTCAACTCATGACCCGTATCGAGGAGGTGCCTGGTAATAGTGCGATTATAATAGTTTGTTCCCTTGAGACGTAGGCTTTTCGGCACATGTTCAGAAAATCGGAGGTGTGTCCTTCTTTCTATTCTCCCGATGTAGCTGCTCCCGCTTCTTACCATTGGTAAATAAACAATTTTCTCCACTATTATAACATCAAGCTTTACTGTTATTGTTCTCCTTATATTTATAATCCTCTCATTTTTTAGTTTATTTTTTCATAAGTGTAAACATCATTTAAGCTGTGTAATAATTTTTTTTGTTTTGCCTCTCACCATGCTATGCTAAGAGAATATTAGATTCAACATTTTATTGCATACGAAAATTCCCCTGCTGTATCGACAGTATCGTCTGAAACAAACTTGTACATTTTTGACATTATTCCTACTGTAAATGTGGAAAATATCCCGTGGTTAACTTTATTTATATTTTGAGTAAATTAGATGCAATTCTTGTAGGCCTGAAAGAAGAGATCCACATAATCGTTAAAAAGTTACAACATATCAGATCTTAAATTGAGCAATTAAAACAAAAGCTAAAAGGAATAGTTACCAATGTAGATTATGATCTTATAAATCAATCCTCCAGCAATGCGAAATCAGCAACTTTCAAAAAGTCAAAAAATAGTCAAACCAAAAAGTTCAACAAATTATTAGAAGAGAAATCTTCATCTCAGAATGATGAAGTCAACAATCCAACGGCGATCGATAAATCAAAGTGGGTTATCAATCTCTCAACACATATATTAAGTCCTACGGAAATAAGTGTATTAGAAAAGGGACTAAATTTCAATGTATCACTAGACAAGTTGAAACCTGAGGATGTCATCCATAAAATAGAAACAGCAATAAGTGGGATAGACAAAACTACGGCTGATGAAATACAGCAACAATTTGCACTGACATTAAAACGACAAAAATGTGGAAAGCCTAACCTGACAAAACAAGAGATAGAAGCCCTCAAACACCTTAAGAATAACAAGGATATAGTTATCACGAAGTCAGACAAAGGAAATGCAACAGTAGTATTAGACAAATCAGACTATTTGGGCAAGGTAAATACACACATACAAAAAGGACCATATGAGGAAATTAATAAACCAATTGATACAGTTATGAATAAAGTTAAGAAATCCACAGCAGACCTTGTACGCCGAATGAAGCCGTTTCTAGGTGAGTCTAAGTGGTTTAATTTAATGCTCAAAACTAATAACCCCAATAGGATTTATGGTGCTGTTAAAGTTCATAAGTCAGGATACCCTATTAGGCCTATAGTTGATTTTAGAAATTTACCTACTTATAAATTATCTAAATATTTATCCATGGTATTAAATCCCCTAAAAATTCACTCGAAATCTAGACTAACTAATTCTTATGAACTCAAACACAGATTAGATAATTTAAAATTAGATAATGAAGAGAAAATGGTTAGTTTTGACATTGTCAGTTTATACACACGTATACCAATAAATATGGCTATGGAGGCAGTCAGAAACGAACTCATTTCTGACCAAGAACTCGAACTTAGGACAGAAGTGCCACTTGAGGACATAATGCTGGGAGTACAGCTATGCCTGACTTCCACAGTATTCAAATTCCAAGGGAAAATATACAAACAAACTGAGGGAGTTGCCATAGGATTATTAATATCCCCAGTTGTAGCAGACATATTCATGGATAGATGGGAAAGCATAGCGATTGAAACGTTCACCCTCACCCCAAAAGTATGGTGGAGGTATGCAGATGACACATTCACTGTACTTAGAACACAGGATATAGATAGATTTTTTGAACACATCAACTCGAAGGTTGAAGCAATTCAATTCACTTATGAATTGGAAAATCAGAAGGGAAGCTCCCAATGTTAGATTGCAACGTAAAAATGAAAGAAGATCGGAAGTTAAACACTAGTGTTTACAGGAAACCCACACATTCAAATAGATGCAATTCTGTTTTTGAAATAAAGCAGATTACTATTATTATCATGTTTGGGTTTTGGTGAATTTATATATATATATGTATATAAACATAATAAACATGAATTGGCGGCTGAGATGAGTGTAGATGTGAGGTTCGGCGTAACTTTGTATTCATTTGTTTTTGTACATATATCTTCTTTCATCGATGTTTCATTTCTAATCTTCCAACATTTAATATTTTTCCCTTGGATTCAGATTGCAACATATGACTTCAGCCGTGCATCTGCAGTCCATTCTGTTCTTTACAGTTCTCTTCAGTCAGCAGTTGCCCAATAGCTTTCATCTCCTCCTCACACGGTCTCCTCCACATCACTGTCGAGCGGCCAACTAGTCGTTTTCAATTCTGGTTCCATTCGACATCCTGTAAGGCGATAGTGCTCACCATCTTCTTAGCACGCGTCGGATCCTCTTCTATTTCTTTTTGCATATTTGTTAGACAATAGGTTCTTGGTCAGTTCCTCTCCGGTTCGCTGGTCCATTTTCCCAGCTGCTTAGTGGTTTGCGAGTCCACTGTGTAATTTGAAGCATCTGTGTCCGATATCTGGTAGAGTCATGAATGCCTACTGATGAAGGCCACCAAACAAGGACGAAACAGATGTTATGCACTCCCTGGTTCAACCTAGCCTAGTTTGTTTGCCACTCCTAACTCCATAAAAGGGGAAGGTTGGGCATAGAGCTAGCCAATCTACCCTGGGAGATCAACCCAATCTCTATAGAGACTTTAAAGCAAAGATATATTCCTATAGCTAATGAAATTTAGCACTTTATGCTTGTTCAGAAAAAGTTGTAGATTCGTCAGGGTAAAAACTTTCCACCAACGTGTTCTGTAAATTTTTATGAACGATCAGCCATTGTGAACTCAGAAATAATATTCCCTTAAATCGAATAAGTCACTAAGGAAAGAAAACAATCACTAATATTGGGATTGAATCAAGCACACCATATACTTCTCATTGTTTTCAAATGACAATAAATCAGTCCTAGTTTACTAGTCATACGGATAAGGCCTTTCTATACATCTCTTTATTGACAGTTCATGTTCTAAAAATGTGATCGTAAAGTAATATGAAACAATTTTTTTAGATATTATGTCAAGTCTTTTTATGAATTCGTTCGTCAAGTCATTAGATATATAACAGCTTCCAATTTGCAAAAGTCTGATAAGCAGGGTAAGAGACGAATAAATAATGTCAGTAGTTAGGAATAAAGATGAATGACAAATTATTTGATATTCGGTTAATCCACTACCATATCTGTCTGTCGTCTGTACTACGTATTATATTGTTACAAAATTAAATACACTGACAAAACATGTTTACAAATATGCATATTATACAAAAATTTCATTCTTATAAAGTGTGAAATGAGAAATACAAAGTGAAAAAGTGAGTGGGAACTATTGGATTACGCATTTTTACTAGCTCATTAATTTAATTAAATAGAATGTTTTCTTAAATTCCATACGACAGTTTGATTTGATCGATATAACTCAGATTTCTTTTTTATTCACCCCCTAAAGCAGTCTTAAGTCGCCTGATTAGTTAGTATTTAAAACTGTAAATATCTAGCCAACCATAGAAATTAATATGCTTACCTTTTATTTCGCTAGATATTTATGATGATATATATCTGAAAAGCTTTTGTCGTAAAGCTTGCTTATTTCCAAGTCTTATGCAGTCTAATTAGAAGAAAAACTTGAGAAAAGGATACCATGGTGAAATCAAAAGCGTCAGCAGCGCATACTAATAAGTTTGATAGCATGACCAGCGATACCAGTTATAATAACTCTAATTTACGCAGAACAGAAAGTGCTGTGTTCATTGATGAAGTATTGCGTCATGTTGCAACTAAACAGCTTCTATTCTTAGAAACCCATGTCTGTACAATATACCGAGTGGCAGACAGAAATGCAGCCGGTTTTAATGAAAATACAGCTTTACAATACATCAACAAGTATCGTAAGAAAAGACAGGCTCATTGTAATGCATGTTTGTTAGAAGATCGATTCTGTTTGCAGCGTATTAAATCATCGGGAAAAGTACCTTTTCGTCCGTGGGTTTCTTACAAAGATATAATGAACTTCTTCACAAGCACTAACAGACCTGAATTCTTTGTCTTATATGTCTGTTCAAATCAAAAATATGTGAATTATTATGAAATATATAAGTGTAAAACGTCAGATAATGTCAAAAGAATTGAAGACCTACTAATGAAAGCATTCAGCGATCCGGATAAAATACTTCGAGATGTCAATGCTTTGAAATATGTTGCATTACCAACTCAACCAGCAACAGAAATAAACTTGGCAGATGTCCAGGTAGCGGTACAGGAAAGTAATGACGTCGCTGAAATTAATGGTACAAAAGATCCCATAGATTCTGGGGAAAACGTCCCAGAGGTAGAAACCAGCCCATTATTGGAGAGAACAGACCCAATATTAGCAGCTCAAAATGTAGTTACCAGTCCAACACCAGATCGAATAAGCCCAGTATCAAATTTGCGGACATCTGAAGTCAATCCACCTTCAGTTCCCCATTCGCCAGTACTAATGCAGAAAGTTTCCTCTGACGCATATGAGGAAGATTTCCAAGTTGTACCCATAAGTCATGTAGAAGAGAATTATGTTGATGAATCATCCCCTGTCTTACTTTCATTTCCTCGTTACTCTCCTTCAATAAGTCCTGAAGTTGAAATAGAGACTTCTCTCTCCGATATTTTGGATAATGTATCATTCATTGATTTTGATCCACATGAAGGGCTGTTCCCCTGCAATAAAGGACCTATCTATATGTTTCTTGCACGTCAAGAATTCCATTTGAATAATACAGCAAGAAGAGATGAAAGTCCTGTACAAAGCAGGCGAAAATATAAATATTAGCCAACATCAGAAGTGAATATAACATCAGAAGTAAACCATTACTGATATTTAAGAAAGCAATCAAGTACTTTCCACCTGCTATTTGGAAAACTACTGAATGCTTTATTAACTGATTTACATTTCATTCATGTATACAGTAGTGAATGCTAATCCGGTTAATTAAATAAATCTTACTCTGGATTTTTTGAAATCGTGATCAGCATTATAATACAATTTATATGATGATTATAAAGTGAGGTCGTTATAGTTTTACCTCTGTTTGTGATACTGTTTATGATCATTCCCATTCGCTTGAAAAACTGACACAATATAAGTCATTTAAATACTGTTTTTCAAAGTAACAAAATGTACTTACATGCCTGCAACCAGAAAAAGAGCTACTGATTATTTATTCTATGAATATATTATTAATTTATAATAAAACTTAACGGAGACTACAGTTTAAAGCCTCTAAGTAGACAGTAAAGTTTAGTCAGACCTATTCGCAACAATCGTTTCCAGTAATCAACACTGGAATTGTTTTGTTAAGTTCAAAGGCCACTTTGTAAAAGCCTAACTAATTATGGTAAAACCGACGCAAAGATCTGTTTGTCAGCAAAGAACCGGCTGATTTTTAAGCCATTGAAAACCAATGTGCAAAGGACAATTTTGACTCTTCATTTGTGATCATGTATAACTGCATGTAGCATGCATCCCAAAGTTCAGTGTCCAGCAAGTAATTATGTACGTGTGAATCTTCAGTATTCGATATGGGAGATAGTGATGGAGAAATTCTGTGGCTGGTGATTCAGATTTTGAGGTCAAGTTATTGTCCGCCCTAAAACATCCAGGGAAAATCATTTTCAGCTGAAAACAATGTAATTTTTAATGCATTTAGTAGGTTTGAGCTGTCCAACATCACTTTTACCAGCTTGCTATCCAGTATTTAGTGTTTGAAATACGTAACTGTTTCCAATTTTTGCACTCTAACCGCTAAGTATGCAAATAATTTCCATTTTAATCAACTCTGAGACTTATCCTTTATAGTCTGTCATTCCGACATTAGTTGGCAGATGCTATCAGCATGCATAATTCATTCATACCTAATTTGACGCATTTGTAAACTCTCTGGGAGTCAGTGGCACAGCAGTAGAATGCTCACCGACTACGCATGCAGCTCGGGGTTCAATCCCTGGCTGAAGCACCATTTTACCTCACTGAGCCAATAATGACAGGGGTAAAGATAGAAGGATGAGCATGAGTCTGGAAACTCCATCCCGTAAAAATAAACACAACTGCTACTAAAACTTCAAGCCTCTAGTTTGAAGCCCTGTGTTCCACGGGGAACGTAAGGGAATAAAGTAAAATAAAAAATAAATAATAAAATAAGCCTTTTACCTAGCTGACTACTGGTCATCACTAAAGTATGAAATAATCTTTACTTGGTCACATGTCAATAGAAGACATCAATGTTTGATACTGGTGAAGATTTGGATACTTGGTTCTCACTGAATCTATGAAAATAACCCATGAATTGCATCAAACAATCTGCCACTTACTGTGAATTAAATTAAAGTAGATCATAATAGTATTGTTAAAATAAAGCAGCTTTTTGTGATTAATTTTATAAAGGATTTTGTCCATTGAAAACTTCGTGTTTAATAAGTTGAATTAGAGATTCTCGCTTGATTATAGGATATTGTGTAAGTTTATCTGACTCTTTGTTTCTATATATTTGGGTATTCAACTTGATGAAGAAACAGCAATTCAGAGAGAGTCAGATTTATAAATATTACCAAGAATTAATCTCTGCATTATCAGTAGATTTGTATTACTGAGTTTTAGCTTTAAAATGTCTAGGTTAAAGAACATGGCCAAGGAGTTTTGTAATGAAAATTTCTGCTTATGTCATAGTAATCATTTTTATTTTTTCTCAGTGGCATTCAAATGAATAATCAACTAAAAATTAAATAACAAAGGATATTCACACTGTTTGCAGTGTTTCAGGAGGAAACTCCAGTATAGCTCTTAATAAGGTCTTCAGAAGATAATGCCTAGTAAATAAGTATTTGGTATACGGTGAGAATTTGTTTTCCAGCTACTGAATAAAAGTAGATGAAACCGTTTGTAGACGTGTATATCTATGGTTCATTTCGGGTTATTACGTATTATAAAGTATGCAGTGTTAGAACCATTTACATATTACTTATCTTTCTTCCTATGAATGCGTAGACTCAATGTTTTCTCAAGAATAACTACTCAGGCTGGTAGGTATAAATGCAGGAATTGATTAAGACAGGTGTAGAATTGGGGCACTGTGGTAGAATGTAATTCCATATTCGATAGGTTTATTTTAATAAGCACGCTGAGATGAAGTATTAACAACTGAATGACGAGATTTCGAGCATAAATTATTGCTCATAATCATATCAATTTAGTTACACGTTTCCACAATTTGACTTTCTATCTTTCTGTCTCTCCGACTTCCCTTCTGTTGTTTGTTGCCTAGATAGAATCTCAGCCAATGCACTGCATTCACTTGCATATAATCACAAAATAGGGTGAGACAGGGTGAGTGTACTAAAAAGTAATATATTTAGGTGGAGAGAGGTTAATCACTGGAGCTTTGCTTATCGATTCAACACCGCACACGTGCGATTGAAATGACACAATGCCTATACCGGATATATGGAAACTGGCAACAAAAAACAAAGGGAAGTTGGAGAGACATAAAGAGAGAAAATATGAATAAGACAAGTTGGGGAACCGTGTTACTAAAGTGATATGATTATGAGCAATAATTTATGCTCGAAACGTCATCCAGTTGGTAATACTACTACTACTACTTAAATAAACTTATCTAATTTGAAATACGGAAATTGATCGCTATAATCAGCTGCTTACGTGAAACTCAGTGCATCTTGTGTGGTACATCAGATTCCGTCTAAAGAATCAATACAAATCAGTATGTCAGTAAAATCATGACAAAGCCTAATGAACGTCTCTAACTTGTGTACTTATACAAATCGGATCGGAAAAACGACTACATCTGTTTGAACTTAAAGCGTGGTTATTTTAAAAATTAAAATGAATTTGTACAGTTAATTGGTTTTCAAGTAGTGATTTTTGTAGGGATTTTGCTTGACTGGTTGGAGGTTTTCATCATCAGATGACATTGGTTGGAGAACCATTGGAAAACTTGGGAGTACTGGACAAATGTTTCGCCCTAGTTTGGGGCTCATCACCAGTACGCATCCCCGGGGTTCGAACCCAGGACCTTCTGGTTGCCAGGAGAGCTTGCAGGTCATTCAACCACTGGGATCGATCCAGTGACCAGCCCATGAATTCTAACTTCTACCAATTCATGACATAGCAGTTAAGCAAGTATGTACGATAACAGCTGGACAACCCTACTGCTGAACTATTTTAATAGGTGTATTCTGCGGAGATTTCGCAGATAAATCAACGAGTTATGAAGGTAACTGTACAATATTCACATATACAATACTAGTCAAACAGAAGTTCTGTGTAGAAATTTATTAACATGTGAGAATTTTTCGCTGGAAGTGTTCTGTGAATTTCCTCGATTATTTGGAGGACATTATAATGTCAACAGATTGTGAATGTTCAGCAGATAGTGACCCCAGTCTATTGCAGAATTTATTTATATAGAGATGATTTATAAACGTTTATTCTCCAAAGAATGTGTTTAACTTCTAGAAACATCATCCTTTCATCTTAAACTCAAATGCCAAAAATAATTATTTCGTCATTCATATTATTTATTCGAAAAAATCCTATCGTAATACAGTCTGATCTGTCACCAATAGGAAGTCTGTTCATAAACCTGTAGAATGATTAATACTACATGGGACTCTTACTGCAGTTGTATTTCAGTGTTTTAGTTACAATTATTGTGTATTTTAGCTCGAGTGACCGGTTAGTTCATTAAAATTATAATTCAGGGTTTTTCGTGTCTGTATAAAGTCATATTGTTATCGTGCATGTATTCTGTCAGTCAGAATTCACACAATGTTTATTTAAACATATACTCAACATTTTTTTTTAAAAATTTACTGTGAATGATGCTCTCAGACAAGTTAAACTGTAAGGATGTAGTGGTGAGTTTTCTGGAGGGATTTTTATATACTCACTATCCTTCTTCATAAAATCACTTACTTATTCAAACAGATGTATTCACGGTTGATTACTCGATCCGTATGATGTGAATCACGTGATCTTCATTTTGCATGCTCTATTGATTTCTATTTTACCGCGATGACAACTCCTAATGTAATAGTGATATTTGGGCACTATAGTCAAATATAATTTCATATTAGATGAGTCTATTCGATATAACATGTATACATTTAATTGGCTAAACAGGTCTTAATAGCCCCGGAAATATGAGCGGTTGTGTAGATTTTCTAGAGACCTTAACACCCTGATATTTTGTCATATGACATGAGTGATGTGTTTGTCTTGTTTAAAAAACTAACAGATTTAATAACTATTTTTAATTTCCAGTCTGTTATGATTGCTACTCGCTATCTGTAAAATGTATTACTATCATAATGACTCATCAAAGTCATTCTATTCTTATATCATATTAATTACTTTCATTGTGAAACATTTGTCAGTAAAATGAATTGATAAAAACGAATCTTTGGGTTAAAACCATTAATATGTATTGTGCAGAAGTTTTGTTAGCCTGCAGACACCGACTACTAATGTGATTACAATGTGCATTAAAATTAAGATGCCTAAATTATATACCTATTTCCATTTAGAAGAAAATTAAAATAGAATGCTTCAAAGTACTGAAGATTCGGATAGTGATATTGCAACTGACTGAGCAATTACAGTTAGGTGGGATTTATCTTTAAGTGATTTAAATTAGGCAGTATATATTTTCAACAATATATATGCATCAGCTGATAAGGTAGATAGCTCTGATCTGAATCTAAGCTAAGTATTAGCAGATACTCAGCACATCACTCACTTTCAAATTTGAGAAAAAT